CCCAACCGGGGACTAGTGTAAAAAGCACCAATGAGGGCCAGCTGCTTTATGACCTGCTTATGGACCAAAGCAGCAAACACCCGCTTCTTTCCAGCCTTCACTTTGAGCTCTCCATCACAATACTATGCCAACAATTCTCCTCGCCGCCAGATCAACAAGATGACATCCTTGCGAATGATGAGGATGCTTCTCGCGTTTTCCCTGTGTTGGAAAGCCTCCTGAGGAATCTCGAACTGGACCGGCCGTTCCGGATATGGGCAGCCCAGGTGATGGGTCGGGGTTTTGTCATGCGTGGACTCAGCTCTGGCGGGAACAAGAAGTCACGCCAGATGCAAGTGGCGATTCCAATGTCCAAAGAAGGTTTCCCAGGTTTTGAGGCAGTCTCATCTTATACCAGCATTGTGCGCCACCTGACGAATCTGCTTTGGACATCTGACTATCCTGCGACAAGTTTTGCTGAGAACACATTACAATTGATCTTCAGCACCATCAGCCATTCGGGCGAACGCGGCTTGCTGGACCCAGATTTCGACAGAACCCTTGTGCAGGATATGAGCTTCACAAATTGCCCGTGCCCTACTACGCTGCTGGCGCGTGCTCTGAATGCGTCAGACATCAAACGCGAAGGATCCCACGACCCGCGGTTGCAAGCGCAGCATTGGGCCGCCGAACTCCTTGCTCAGATCTCTGACGCAGCCGCTGGGGATCCTGTGCTGAACGTTCTGAAGCCACTCATCAACGCAATTCCCGAGTCGGCAGAGGCCCTATTGCCACAAAGCGTGCATCTGATTCTACTTAGCGAGTTCGACTCTCGCCAGGCTTTTCGGGAAAAACTGTCAGAAATGTTCTCCGATATCCTTTCGTCAGCCGTCCAGCAGCCGAGCCCAGCCTGCCCGTTGGTGCTCAAGACTCTGCTCTATCTCAGAAAATGCCAACTCCCTCGAGAGACCAATATGGCACAGCGAAATTCCTGGCTTGAGGTAGATCTCCACCACGCTGCTATGGCAGCAAGCGCCTGTCAAATGTGGCATGAAGCTCTTCTCTTCCTGGAACTTCATCAATCCCAGGCTCAATTACAAACAGGTCGTTCTTCCCGAAGGTCACTCGTCATGACCGAAGGTATTCCCATTGAAATTATCTCGAAGATCTATGAGAATGTCGACGATCCTGATTTTTTCTATGGTAAGCACCAAACCTATGACTTGCAGTCCGTGATCAGTAAACTGGGGCATGAAGGCGCGAGCCAGAAATCCTTGTCCTTCCGCAGTGCTATGCTTGACTCCCAATTGAGAGTCAATGAGCAAACAGCAGCGCTAGGCTCGGTGGCATTGGCCACCGCGTCATCGCTGAGCGCCGCGAATATGCAGGGCATATCAGAAGCTGTGAGACAACACTATGACGTTTCTCAGAAGGGTGCTTGGGCGGATAGTGGCTCTGCACAAGATCGATGGGATTTGATGCCTCCGAGCGAATCAACCTCGTCCTCGGTGGGCTGGTTGTCCTTGTTCCGCGGGATGCATAACATTTCGAACAAGGATAGCTTTCTCATGGAGCTGGACCAATTGTTACTCGACGTAGGTGTCGCTATCAAGGCCGTCTCTGGCAGTAGAAGCCACTCGCATCGCCTCTATTCGAATCTGGCAGTCCTTGCAGAGGCGCGACAGACTCTCGGTGCAACGTCGATGGACGGTCTAGAATCGGCCTGTGCAGCTTTGGCAGCCAGGAACAAGAACCTCAGGCACGCCAGGTAGGTGCGCTCACACATTACTGGATTATTACTGACAATAGCAGGTTCGACGCGCTATCCCCTGTCTTGGCAGGCAGAGAAGCAGCTTTCGCCGCTGTCAGAGGAAACGAGCGACTACAGAGTTCCTTCCTTGTGAGCCTGCACCAAGCGCTGCTTCTCGAATTTCGGGTGACTCGACAGTCTCTAGAGGTGGCGTCGAGTTATGACGAGCCTCAATTCTGCTTGAATAGGGCGATGTATCTGTCCGAACTGAATCACCTGGCTCAGCGAGTAGGGTTGCAGGTCGATGTTGCGACCAATTACGACCTAGCCAGAACTTTGTGGGAACAAGAAGAAGCGTCTGCTTCCATTGGAATTCTGGAAGATCTCAGAAGTCGAAAAGATATTGCCAAACAAGCCATTGCTGTAACGCGAGCTGACATTCTGACGGACCTTGGCCACAAGATTGCTGAGGCCCGTCTCGAAAAACCAGACGAGATCATCGAGCGCTATCTGGCGCCAGCAATTCAGGAGCTACACGGACGAACCGGATCAGCCGCTGGTCGAGTTTTCCACAACTTTGCTGCCTTTTGCGATATGCAGCTGCAAGATACTGACAACCTGGACGACTTTACCCGCATCAACAAGATTCGAGAGCGGAAGACACAAGAGGTGTATGAGCTCGAAAGAATGGTGAAGAACAGCAAAACGGAGCAGCAGAAGCAGAAACTCAAGTCACATTGGGCCAGGGCTCGAAACTGGCTCAAACTAGACGAGGAAGAATGGAGAAGGGTATCGGAGAACCGAGAGAATTTGATCCTCCAGTGCCTGGAGAACTACCTGCTCTCAATGAGGGCTTCCGACGACTATCCTAACGACACGCTCCGGTTCGTTGCTCTCTGGCTCAACCAGGCGGAAAGCCCAACGGCAAATGCTGCTGTCCAGAAGAACCTCAGCTCGGTGCCAACAATCAAATTCGCGCCACTGATCAACCAGTTGACGTCGCGTCTGTTAGATTTCAAGGACGACTTCCAAAAGCTGCTCAAAGATCTCATGTTCCGGATCTGCTCGGACCACCCATTCCACAGTCTATACCAGGTCTTTGCTACCAGCAAGTCTCGGCCACCGACTGGTGATGATATCGCCGCGTCCAGATGGACCGCAGCAAACAAGTTGACCGAACGCATCAGGCAACAGAGCACATCCTCAGCCATATGGACTGCTGTCCACAACACTTGCGTCGCTTTAAACAAAGTCGCAGTAGAGCCACTGCCGGAAAAGCATGGCAAGTCTGATCCTAAGACGCTCCAATTGCGAAAGTTACAAGGCGGCCCTGGGCTGGAGGCACAAATCACGAAACCGACTTCGAAGATCCCACCACCTACTATGAATATCGCTTTAAGGGCAGACCGCGACTACTCGCAGGTACCAACGTCTGTCTCGATCAGTCCGGAGCTTTCTGTTGCAAGCGGTGTCTCAGCACCCAAGATTGCCACAATCATAGCCTCTGATGGCTCTCGACACAAATTGCTCTTGAAAGGCGGCAATGACGACCTCCGACAAGACGCAATCATGGAACAAGTATTCGAGCAAGTGTCCAACCTCCTCAAAGAGCACCGCAGCACACGACAACGGGACCTTGGGATCAGAACGTACAAAGTGGTACCTCTAACCAAAAACTCGGGCGTCATCGAATTCGTGCAGAATACGATCCCGTTGAACGAGTATCTCCTCCCGGCTCATGGACGGTACTATCCCAAGGACTACAAATCTAACAAAGCCCGAAAGGACATTGCGGACGCTCAAGGAAAGACGGTGGAGCAACGAGTGCGGGCTTATCACACGGTCGCCGCCAACTTTCACCCGGTCATGCGCTTCTTCTTCATGGAGAAGTTCCTCGACCCTGATGACTGGTTCTACAAGCGCCTCAACTACAGCCGCTCCACTGCTGCGATCAGCATTCTGGGCCATGTGCTCGGTCTAGGAGATCGACACGGGCACAATATACTGCTTGACGAAAAGACAGGAGAGGTGGTGCACATCGACTTGGGCGTAGCTTTCGAGGCTGGTCGGGTGTTACCAGTGCCTGAAGTCGTTCCCTTCCGCCTGACACGCGATCTTGTCGACGGCATGGGACTTACGGGCGTCGAGGGCGTCTTCCGGCGCTGTTGCAATTTCACCCTTGAAGCCCTTCGTCGTGATCAAGAAGCAATAATGACCATTCTCGACGTTCTCCGCTACGATCCGTTATACTCATGGTCCGTCTCTCCACTTCGCCTCCAAAGGATGCAGGAGAACAATGGACAAGCCCCGGCCGCGGACGGTGCCGCGGGTGGCACCGCCGCAACAAGCATCAGCAGCACATCACTTACAAATGACGCGACTGCTTTCGGTGTGATTGCAGCAAGAAGAGAAGAGACAGAACCGAGTGAAGCGGACCGGGCATTGACCGTAGTGGCGAAAAAGTTAGGCAAGGCGTTGAGCGTGGAGGCAACAGTCAACGAGCTGATTCGACAGGCGACAGACGAACGCAATCTGGCATTGTTGTATTGTGGTTGGGCTGCCTATGCTTGATGGACGAAGCAAGCAGCGCGCTTGTGGGAATGCCATACAGAGTTGAGGAGTGTCCCATGGTGAAGGGGGGATCACTGTCTTTCCAGCCGCCGAGGCGGTATTCTTGCATGCCGGAGGGAGGTTGTAAGAGCAGGGAACAGTTGCAACTCATGGTGGACCAGCATTCAAGCAGACCAGCCTCCTGTCTCGTCTCGTCTCTGCGGGATTGCGGATAAGATGATCGCATTGCCGATGCAGCATGTACGAATCTCCTTGTGATACGCCCTCTGATCGTGTTATCTACGACGCCGCACTGCCTCGCCGACGAACGAATCGGTATTTGACAGGCTGTACGGCTGCTAGAGTTGTAGGCACTTTGATACGGTGTCTGTTGAAGCCGATTGCTCTGCTTGCCTTTTCGTCTTGTAGCCGCTGCCTTTGGTGGCTTCTCATTCGACAGGAGGATCTTCTCTGACTGCGCCCGTGTTCGTTGTTTTAGGCGGCGAGTAAAGTGACCGTGCTGGTTATAGGGTTGAGGTCATCTCAACCATGTCGCTGTGGGAGCTGACGTGGCGCTTCCCTAAATGTATGATCTTGTCCTTTGCTGAATTTATTTTGCTTCAGCTGCGAACTTCGAGGAGCAGCCTTCGCCGATCTGCGGTGAAAGTCCTGCCATTCGAGTCTTCAGCCTAGAGACCTTCCACGGTGGACACTGCTGTCATCATTCAGGCTCGTCAAAGGACAATTTAATCTTCTTCCCTTTCTTCTTTGGCGCGGTGGCAGATTTCGGGGCTGGATGGACTTCATCGGTTCGCCCTCTGTCCAAGCGTTTCTGCTTATCGTCTCCATCGCTTTCGCTTCGTTGGTTCTCGCCCTCTCCGCCAACAAATTTTCCAATCTTTCTCTTCTTTGCTGCCGTCGACGAGCCAATTTCGGTGACTCTCTGCCGCTCAGACTGCTTTGTGCCTTCTTGGGCCCCCAGCTCTGAGCCTTGTGCATTCTCCGTCACGGCTGGCTTATCGCTCTCGTCTTCGCCTTTGACCCGCCGCTCAAACTCGGCCTTTTCAATCCTTTCGCCTTGCTCGTCAACGATCACTGGCTCGTCTTCATCGTCGTCACCGGTCTTCAGCCTGTCTTTTTTGGGTCGAGCGATCTGGACGTTATGTCTTCCATCAAGGCCACCAAACTCCCCTTTCAGTTTGCGGAGGAATGCGGGTTCTTGCTTGTTGTACTGTAGATTCTTTGCGTTAAATGCCATTCCAATGCCTTTCCGAAGGACCCAACGTTTGATGAGCTGCACAACTCGGACTGATCGAAGGCACTGAAACCAACATTGAAGAAACATGCCAGCACGGCGCATTTGCTTCGCCGCACAAGTCACGTGCTGATAAGCCCTTATCAGACCACACTCTTTTGGGAGAGACTCCTGAGTGTTCGACGTCAAGACGTGTTCGCCTTCTGCCACTTGCTCCAACCTCCTGTTGCAATGTCGCAGTGACAAAAGCCGGTCGCATTAATGTTGTGGCCTCCTACGCCGGCGCAATGTGCGCGAGGCTATATCAGAACGTCCCAGAAGTTCAGGTTACCCCCCCGGTTTGCTGCGAGAGCCACAGCGATACTACGACGACATTATGCCTCCGAGACCGATAACCCTAACACCGACCGGAAGTCACTGGCGCGGGTCGCCAGTGCTCGATATAATGAGATTGGTGTGCAACAACTGAGCGATCACCTCCACCCGCAAGTATTCCTATCCAGGGCCACGCGACCACGCGCAGATTTGGTGGAATTGTCCAAAGATCATTTGCGCAGGCATGGACTACTGGGCAAAAACCAGGATCACAACGCCGCTGTCGGGCTTGACGCGCCTCCAATCGTCGGAAGTAGTCTGGACGAGCACTTTACCAAGCTGGCCATGGACGCTTCCGAGCCATATCTGTCCTACGCCAACGCCTTCGTCCGAGCGAACACTCCGCAAAGACCTCGGAAATGGGTCATCAGGAGCGGGTGGACAAAGTACCATCCAGACATGACTACGGAAGAGGTGGACGCGCCTGAGGAGACGATGCTATCATTCGACGTCGAGACAATGTGGCGAGAGTCACCATTTGCCGTCATGGCCACTGCCGCCAGTTCCACGGCTTGGTATGCCTGGATATCTCCGTGGCTGCTCGGCGAGACGGAAAACCCACGACAGCTTATACCATTGGGCGACCCCACGAAACCGCGGATAGTCGTGGGGCACAACGTCGGCTATGATCGCGCAAGAGTCAAAGAGGAATACGATTTGAAGCAGTCTCGGAACTTCTTCCTTGACACGATGTCCCTGCATGTCGCCGTCAACGGAATGTGTTCGAGACAACGGCCGACTTGGATGAAGCACAAGAAGAACCGAGATTTGCGAGACAAAATGTCGGGCGACCACAACTCGATTGAGCTGCAGAGAATGCTTGAAAGTAAGATGCTAAGCGAGGAAGAGGAAGAATTGTGGGTCGGAAGAAGTTCCATCAACTCGTTACGAGACGTGGCCAAGTTCCACACGGGCATCACTATTGACAAAAGCCAGAGGGACTACTTTGGCGAACTGGACCGGGACGGCATCATGCAACGGATTGAGGAACTGCTGGACTACTGTGCTGCGGACGTCGCCATCACGCACAAGGTCTTCCAGAAAGTCTTTCCTAACTTTCTGGAGACCTGTCCCCACCCAGTCAATTTTGGTGCGCTCCGACACATATCGTCCGTCATTCTGCCTGTCGACAAGACCTGGGACGAGTACCTGGAAAGGGCTGAAGCCACGTACCAACAGAGATTAAAAGACGTCCAAGACCGACTTTTACAGCTCTGTGAAGTGGCACTAAGCGCCAAAGACAAGCCAGACATATACCATAGCGACCCTTGGCTGAGTCAACTGGACTGGTCAGGACAGGAGATCAAGTACAAAAAGGCAAAGAAAAAGGGCGATGAGCCCGTTCCGGTCGCTCGGCAGAAGAAACCTGGTGCGCCCAATTGGTACCGGGACTTATTTACCTCGAACTCATCACCCATCAGCCTGACTGTTCGAACGAGGATCGCGCCGCTCTTATTGAAGCTCTGCTGGGATGGATTCCCCTTAGTGTGGTCCGATTTGCATGGTTGGACTTTCCGGGTCCCAAGTGGCGAGGTGCACAAGTACGAGCACAGCAATGCCGTCAGCTGCGATATGGCCAACGAGGAGAACATCAAGCTGAAATCCGACCATACGCACACTTACTTCAAGCTTCCGCACAAAGACGGCCCATCCGCACGGTGCACGTCGCCCCTAGCCAAGGGCTACTTGCAATATTTTGAAGCCGGCACGTTGTCATCGCAGTATCCCCTGGCGAAGGAAGCATTGGAGATGAATGCGTCATGCTCCTACTGGATCTCGGCCCGTGACCGAATCACGTCCCAGCTGGTCGTCAAGGAAGCCGACCGGGATCCCTCGCTCGCTGGTAAATCGGATCAAGGTTTTATCCTGCCTCAGATCATCCCGATGGGCACCATTACGCGGCGCGCCGTGGAGAACACCTGGCTGACTGCCTCGAATGCCAAAGCCAACCGTGTGGGGTCCGAACTGAAGGCAATGATCAAGGCACCACCTGGCTACTGTTTTGTTGGGGCAGACGTCGATAGCGAAGAGCTCTGGATTGCGTCTCTCGTTGGAGATGCCCAATTCCGGCTCCACGGCGGCAACGCCATCGGCTTCATGACGCTGGAAGGCACAAAAGCTGCAGGCACAGATCTCCATTCCAAAACCGCCAAAATCCTGGGCATATCCCGTAACGACGCCAAGGTTTTCAACTACGGCCGCATCTATGGCGCCGGCTTGAAATTCGCCGCGACCCTACTCCGACAATTTAATCCGACCCTGTCTGAGCAACAGACGACCGAAATCGCCTCGAAGCTGTACAAGGAAACGAAAGGCACCCGCACACGACGCAAGCTGCTCGGGAATGGCTCCTTCTGGCGTGGCGGCACCGAATCATTCGTGTTCAACAAACTCGAAGAATTTGCCGAGCAAGAACGTCCTCGCACGCCTGTTTTGGGAGCAGGGATTACAGAAGCCCTGATGCGGAGGTTCATCAATCAAGGCTCGTTCATGACATCTCGCATCAATTGGGCAATCCAATCTTCAGGTGTTGACTACCTGCACCTCCTGATCATTGCCATGGACTACCTGATCCGTCGCTTCAACCTCGATGCTCGTCTTGCTATCACAGTGCATGACGAAATCCGATACCTTGTAGCGCACCAAGATCGCTATCGTGCGGCAATGGCATTACAAATCAGTAATCTCTGGACCAGGGCAATGTTCAGCCAGCAAATGGGTATTGAAGATCTGCCCCAGTCGGTCGCATTTTTCTCTGCTGTCGATATTGACCACGTTCTGCGCAAGGAGGTAGATATGGACTGTGTGACGCCAAGTCATCCCGAGAAGATTCCTCATGGCGAGAGCCTCGATATCAGCCAACTGCTTGAGGTGGGCGACAAGGCATACTTGGATCCGAACGTTGTGCCCAAGGACGGGCCGATCGACTTGGATAAGTACAAGTATACCCAGAGGAAGAGTGTCATGGAGATACTGAACGGCGACGGGGAGAGCGATGTGGCGTATGTCCGGGCGCAAATCACGTCCGACGACAAGGAGTTGAGAGATATCATAAAAGAAATGGAGAAAGAATCCTCGTCAGCGGGCGAAAAGGCAACCACAACGAAATCCGGCACGACAGGCACCAAAGGATTCGGCTCTTCAGGTTCGTGCTTGCCGCGAGGTCGTCGTCCGAAACCCAAAGTCCCCATTCCAGCTCACGCGCAACCTCAACAAGCCATGCTCATGGAGGTGGAAGACCGTTGGAGTATGGGATACAACAAGGCCTTTGGAGGGGATAAGCCGTGGTTGACGGAGAAGAAGTCCGACTGGACGAGGAAGTGGGCCAGTGACGGGTGGGAGGTGTGAGGCCTCATGTGTTCTATGATATGTGTTACTTCTCAGCATTTGCGTGGATGGGCTACTTGTATATTGCATGCTTGGTATTTGTTCTTTTAGTGCGATGGAGTCACAGTGGCATGCATGTATTATCACAGAACTGGAAGGAGGGCAGCAACGGCTGTATATACTCCGTACCTGTATGGATATCGTCGGGGTCGAAATGATGTCGGAATACTAGTGAAACGCTCCGGCTAAACCTCAATACTTTGGCATTGTCTTCTACCGTAGCCACGTCCTAGAGATCCACCGCCACATCTCCGCCTAATTATCCCATCTCGCTCATGATCCTTGCAATCTCCCTCTTTGCGAACCTCTCTCTCTCGTCTTTGCCCATCTCCTGTCCCGCGTCTCGTATGGCGATGACCCGCTCAACCAGGCCTGGAAGCCGCTCGATCTGCGTTTCTTCGCCGTCGTCACCGTGATTCTTTCCCCTAGGATCGTCCCCACTGTCATTATCATCATCATCTTCTTCCTCGCCCTCGTCGTCTCCCCCGAGCATACTCATCTTCAACTCCATCATCTCCCTTTGGAGTTCGAAGTCCAGGCCCCCGAATCCTGACATGCTGTTGGTGACTGACGCTTTGGCGCGTATATTCGGCAAGGTCTTGTTATCATCGTCATCGTCGTCTTCCTCGTCATCGAAATCAAAGTCGTCGAGGTCGTCACTGTGATCCGGCTCAGCCGACCAATCCACCGACTGCAGAACTTCAAGCACGCGCGGGAGTCCTGTCTTCTCTCCATATACGTTCCTCTCAGCTTGTTCTTGGTCTTGGCCTTGGTCCGCTTCGTTGTGCTGGACTTCTCGGCCGTCCCACGCTACGAACTCCCATCCTAGATATCCCATGGAGAGACATCGCTCTTCGAGCTGCTCGAGGAGTCCATCTCGCTCGGGAGTCGTCCTTCTCGTCGCGCTCGAAGAACAAAAAGATGATGAAGAAGGAGGGGCAGAAGCCTGCTGCAGCACGACCAGGGAAGCGATATCCCTGCCAGGGGAGTCGTCCTCGATGGCTTCGCGGAGTGTGTGTGCTGTTTGGATGAGCTTGATGAAGGGATCCCGGTCGTGGTCTTGATCCAATTCGTGTGAAGCTGAGCCTGATGCTCGCGTTGCGGATGTGACAGGGGCAGAGGTAGATGTAGAGGAAATCGGTAGGAGGAGGACGATCCCGGCTATCACCGCGCGGACTTCTCGTGCCGCGGGGGAGAGGATCTGAAGTGTCCAGTCCTGGAGGGTTGGTTCTGGGGTTATCGACTCGGTGTTTGTGTCTGTGCCTGTGCCTGAGCCTTTGCTTGTGTTGTCGCCCTGGCTGAATTGGCGTTGGCTCCCGTCCTTGCTCCGAGGATCCGATTCGAGCTGATTACTATCGCTCGGTGGGAGCGATATTTGTGCGGGAGGCGCACCTCTAGATCGTGCCGTCGGCAAAGGTAACTCGTCGCACCATATCCCCACGTCGCGGGCGTAGTATTTCGTCGTCAACCGTAATGGTGGGTGCGAAGTGTAGCCTGAAAAAGTGGTCACGTCGGCGGAGGGCCGGGACCCAGTGATTGCTTCGAGAAAGGCTGGAAACAGAGGTAGCGTAGGTATCGAGTGTGGCGCTGAACCTGGCGCTGACGCTGACTCTGACGCTGATGTTGACGGTGAAAAGCTGGGGCCAGTGCTTGGAGAGAGGATAAGCAGGCGGAGCGACGAGGGTTTTACTTGGGGCGAGGGTGTCGTAGAAGGCATGGCTTTGGTCGTGTTTGCGGTCCCTAGACGATGATCTCTGGATGAGCTTGTTTTGTGGTCTGTATATGCTTGTGTATCGCTTCGGTGTTTCTTGGGACAGTCATATGTTGTTCCATAAGAACAGGAGATCAAACCTCGAGATGTGGTCTCAAGGCAGCGGCAGTCACGGCCGGGCCCCGTCTCCCTTTGCAGGGGTTTTTCTAGTCTGTTCTATCCAGGTCTTGCGGTGTATAGTTTCTTGACGGCGAACAGTGCTTTACACTAAATAGAGTGCTAGGATGAAGATGCTGTCTCGACCCGGATTCAGATTTATATTCAGCCTTGGCCCGCGGGTCGAGGCTTTCAAATCGCTTCGTCAAGAAGGCTACAGACCCGCCCTCCACGGTCGATCGACCAGCAAATCCTCGTTAGGAAAGCTATGCAATCGGATCTTCGTGTGGCGGAGCCTCAACTGCATGTAGGCTTTTTCTCGACATGTTGAGCTCTCTGCTCCCAACATGCACCCACAGTGCTATGACAGCCGCACCTCTCCAGCATCTGTCTCCTCGGATCTGCGGCTGTGCCTGCCCGTTGCGTGCAATTCCTTCGTCTGCATTTCGCATTCTCTTCTCGTCGCGTACTGCGCAGCGCACAACCAGCGTTGAAACAAGGCCCAGTCACTTCATTCCATTCGAACATCAGATCTCCGAGCTTCTGACAACAATCTCATATTTACTGCCTTCTTCCTGCTCGTGCGCGATTGACCGTCGCCCGCCCTCTCGCTAATCCGACACCGCGTCCTCTTATCCCCCTAGATCTGAACATAGGCGCATTCCGAAGCATGTCCGGGACGATGAAGAACCGCACGTGGCTGCCTCGGATGTAGACTTGGTCGAGGTGGGAAACGCGGCCGTCGCGGGCAGTGGCGGTGATGTCTTTGAGTTGGACGTTCATGTTATCTTCCGCTGGGCACCGTCAGTCTGAGTTCGGAAAAAGCGCATCGCGCGAGGGGAGGCATAAGAGGGGCCAAAACCGACCTTCGAGAAGTTTCCCCCGGTAGACTTGACCGGATGTGAGTTCCAATGTGACAACATGGCCCTGCGCGCAAGGTTAGCCTCGCCCTGCTACCACGGGTTGTATCCTCACCTGTGCCTCGTTGAGTAGCTTGATGGGTATGCCGATTGTGGATGTGAGTTTGCCCATGGTGGGCGGGTGCTAGGCTTGCGCGGGTCGATCTCAGAATGGGACGGGCTGTGATAATACGTGTGACAGAACTACTGAGGTCAGGAAGATCTGGAATCCAGCTGTGTAGTCAGTTCGTCAATGTTTGCTTCGTACTCGCGAATTGCGGGAGGAAAATGAATGTGATCTGAAATTGAATCTTATCTTATCTCCGCATGTTTGATATTGACGTCGTCACCTTCGATCCATTTCACTCTCGCTTCAGTCTAATTCTACAAGCATCACGCGTCCATTGCTCAGGTCATTCTCTGACATGCCACTCTTTTCCAATGTCCCAGCACTGCGCCTCACTTTAGCCTACGCCCTGAGCGAGCCGTCTTCCCTACTCCCGCATAGAACCATACCTACACTCCTTCCACTCCCATTGCCAATCGGCCCGTGGCTTCCCTCCCTCAACAGCACAGGCAAGAAACCAACTATTCGCGCCCTGGTTCTTGACAAGGACAATACACTATGCCCGCCGGAGACAACCAAGCTTCATCAAGCATATATAAACAAACTTGAGAAATTAAAACAAAGCGACGAATTCTCCCACAACCCGCACAGCATCCTCATCGTCTCCAACACGGCGGGCAGTTCCTCCTCGACTGAGCATGAAGCTGAAGCGAGACTACTCGAGAAGGAGCTAGGAATCCCCGTGCTACGCCAACACCCTGAGCGCAAGAAACCGTTCTGCGGTCCGGATATTTTGACTTACTTCAAGGATCATGGCGTCACAGAAGATCCGAAAGAGATTGTGATTTTGGGAGACAGACTAGCGACGGATGTTCTGTTGGCTAGAGAGATGGGTAGTTGGAGTGTTTGGACGAGAGACGGTTGGCGGAATCCTGAGACGCCGGGACGCGATTATCGAGGTTTCTTTGGAAGGATGGAGAGTCGGTTTGAGAGATTCATGAGGGGCGGACTAGGCAGGACGGCGCCATTGCCGAAGACGGTTTCAACCTCGTGAGCGACCGAGAGGCGATTTGGATGCCACAATCCCGATGTAGTCCATTTGCGGGCATATCCTCCATCGATGGGAACGAAAGTCGCCTTTGCAGAGCGATGCCACTATCAAGACCCGACGACGTTGGACAACCGGGAATAGGAATGCCGACATGGTCTGCTTCACACTCCTTGCAGCCTGCGGATTATCAGCTCTCGTCGATGGGGGCGTGCTCAAGTTCTCAGAATCTTATCCCCACCATCGATCGAGCTTCCTGAAACGGTCGACGTCCCGGCTGCCGAATGAGGGTATGGCGGTAGACTCTTACTGTCAGTCATAACCAACCCCGACAATGCCGCTGGCAACTCGCTCATACCACCCGGCAGCCCGATTTGCGGCGTACTTGTTGACTGACTCATCTGCAAGCTCCCGCTTGCATTCGACATGGGACTCACTGGACCAGTATCCGAGCCCGGTTCTACCGGCTTCCGAGCCAAGATCTCTCTCTTCACCAACTGACTGTTGTCGATCGTCCACCGTCTACTCACAATTTCGATTACCGCGTCCTTCATGGAGAATTTATTCTCCTTGACGCGGACCTCGATACGGCCAGAGAAGGGTACTCGGATCCACCCGCCTTTATCCTCCACAACAGGTAACTCCAATTCCTTGTCTCTGTCGCTAGAAAACTGTACGTGACCGTTAGCTTGTAAACCAGAGTTTGTAATCAAAGCTCCTGTGTAGATTGTGAGTAAGAAAGAGCCATACCAACATAAACCTGACCCCCTCAAACAGCACCTCCTGCCTTTTTGCATCATGCTCGATACAAATGGCCCTCTTGAGATCGATCTGATGTCTCGAACATCGCTGCCGACTAGAAACGATGTTCACGATGGCTTCCTCGCGGCCGATACTTCTTTCTGATTCGTTTTCGTTGTCTGTCTGTATGATGTGGCTATTAGCATGGCTTGAGCAGTAGCAGAGCAGTAGCAGAGCAGTAGCAGAGCAGTAGCAGAGCAGTAGCAGAGCAGTAGCAGAGCAGTAGCAGAGCAGTAGCAGAGCAGTAGCATGACACCCAGCCCAGAGTAATCAAGACACACTGTGGGACGTCCCATTCAGGCGTGAAATACGAGATATGAAACATGAGATATGAAATGCGAGCTGCGAACCGCGGGATGACATACAAAATCTCGCGCCAAAAGCCCCTCGAGAGCCGCCCGACTGGGATTCCCACTGTCGTACTCGAGGAACAGCTTCTTCAGACACTGGAATCCATGCGGCGACTTGGTCGTGATGGCGTGGTAGGATGTCGTGTGTTCGTGGATTTGCACCTTTGGCATTTTCTGGACAATTGATCGCCTGATTGATTCGTAGCTCGTTCGTAGTGTGTGCGTGCGCGCGTAAATGACGACTGGACGGAGTACAGAGTACTTGTTCTTAGTTCTGGATCCCAAATTCACCGAGCGAAGGTTTGGCCAGGTCGACAACGACGACTCGGCTCTGGCTCTAACGTCAACGCGGACGTGGATGTTGCCCTTATGCGCGTGGCGAAGCTCGATCGATCGCTCGCTCGCTGTCTCAATGATGCCCCGGGATTGATTGATTGAATGATTATCCCACTGTCTACAGTACTCTGTACTCGTACAGGGCAATGTGTGCGTTTTGAGTGGTGTCGTGTCGTCCGTTCTCTGTGCTGTGCGTGCTGTGCGTGCTGTGCGTGCTGTGTTGTTCTGTTCTGTGCCGTGCGTGCTGTTCTGTGCCGTGCCCGTGCTGTTCTGTGCCGTGCCCGTGCTGTTCTGTGCGTGCTGTGCTGTGCTATAATATGCTACTCCTGCTTTAGAGTGTGGCAACTAATCACTGTCTTGTACAGATTGGTACCAGTACTCCGTACGGAGTATAAGGTATTCTCGACAAACGCCGTATACTGTAAGGTACTACTATTCGCAATAATTGCAGCTTCGTGGTCGACGGTGTCGGCGTCGTGCAGGCTGCACACTTACACAATAAAGGGTACCTGGGTACTCCGTATGGCGTACTGCACAGTACGTACGTAGTTGATTGGTTGTCTTTGTTGTTAGCGACGCGGCTGAGCTGAAACAGGCGTCCAGCTTTCGTGGAGGGACTACGGAGTAGATCTGCACGAGACGCCGTTACTCGGTACGGTGGCCCCAGTACGGAGTACTCGTAGTGCCCAGTACATACAGTGTACTTGTACCTCATCGGCTACCGGGTACAATACCTCCGGCAGATTAAATGGATGGTTGGTCGGTCTTGTCTCGTGAGAGTGCGCGTGATTTTGTCCCTACTACAATGTCATGTGGTGTCTTTGAGATCGTGGATGATTTTATGTGACTCGATACGAGCATGCCGTACATGCCCGGAGAACTGTGTGACTCTTCCTTTGGAGGCCTGATTCCAGGGGAGTCCCGTGGAGAGCCAGTGGATCAGTCCTGCACGCCCACACGCCCTCGCGGCGCTGAATATGATCGTCCCTAGCATGTACGTACGAGTACGAGTACGGACGAGAAGGATTGCTGGGCACGTTCTCGTGGATGTCGATTCTATGCTCGGATAGCCTCTCCACGACTTCTTGGTGTAGCCCCCGTTTGTACACAGGACACCCTCGAGCTCTAGGCTTCTGTCTGAGATCCTTATCATCACGCGCTTAGTGCAAGACCTCGACGATGCTCTTCCACGGCAATGCTCTTCAATGTTACTGTGTACGCCGACTTAAGCCTTCGACGGTGCTATGTCGACGATGGCCCCCGGCTTCTGCTTGCTTGTCCTCATCGAGGCACGCGTCCATCTCGACGACAAATCCCCTAAGGTGGTCGTACATGGCGCTCTCTTCAACGGCTTGCTTGCTGCAGTAGGCTTTTGTCTCCTGAAAGGCCCTGAGAACTTTCGCTTCCGTTTCGGCGCGAGACTGCTTCTCTTGCTCGTCAAGCGCCTCCGGACTCCAGCACCATCTGAAGCCACTTGAGTACTTGCCGAGCCAGATGAAGATCTTCTTTTGCAGCTCCTCCACCGTGAATGGTTGTTTGCCACCAATTATGTTCTTTCCATTCTTGGTGTGGAAATAAAGCTCGATGGGACCGGTCTCTGGGAGACTCAGGTGCACCCCAAGTACGGCGAGAACAGCTAAGGAGAGGTGTCGGGCAGGGATCAGCACTGGTGCTCCTCGCATCATCGGATCGTCCGCGGTTGGTTTGTAGGCGATAGTGATGCTCGGGGAGAAGTCGTACTGGTCCAGTTCGAAGGATGTGCTCTTGCGGCTCCATTTCCCAGCCCAGTTTTTCCGGCACCCAGAGCGTATGCACATTCCACTTTGCCATAGCGTCAAAAAACAGCTTTTGATTTCCCACAATCGCGACAAAGTCGTTCTCCTCGAAGAGTATCTCTCGCCCTTCTTCGTAGAATCGCTTGCAAGTCGACATGATACCGCTGTGGAGTGTGCAAGTGTGTTGTTGTCTCACAGCGGCCTCATGGTACTCGTTTTCGCTGTACCTCTCAGAGGCATAACACGTGCTTGGGGGTACAATCAGGGTCTTGTGGTTTGCGTCAATTGTGAGAAGTTCTTGCAGGATCTTGCGGCGCATCTCAAGAGGCATGCCCATGAGCGTGCACTCATGGCCACTTGCTGCGATGCGCACCATAATAGAGAGGATAATCGTAGTGATGCCACAGGGGGGAAAACACCACAATAGAGATCCGACATCTGCAGATAAGTGTACGAGCACAAGTCAGTAAAGTTAACACGAACCTGATAACCTACCTGTAGTTGTGGCCGCCAAGCGGATAAGGCAGTGACAGTGCAAGCAAAAGCAGCGACAAACCCCCATCGTCGTCGCTTTGTTCAACGTGAAGACAGAGCATGGCATAGGCAGTCAGCAGTGAAAGTAGTTCCATTGTGCTGGTGTCCATTCGGCGAGCAGTGACAGTAAGTGACTTGGCTCTGAGAAGGGTAGTCCAGGCACCTGGTAGAACTGCGCGACATAGACTCTTCTGGTGAACTGGCTGATGACAGGCATATTCTGTGACAGGCACGAAGGAAGGACGAAAGGAGTGACTAGTATCTTGACATTAATCATCCTTTGGGTGGCGCTCGTTCGTAGACAAGAGCAAATCAACAATGAGCACAACGTGTCTGTGCTCTCTTACCTGTGCTCCAACAGCTTACAGGATGTATTGGCTAGGAATCATCTCTGGTATCGCTTCTCAGTTTCTCCTGGCGTCTCGCTGAGTGAGATCTCGAGGCCGAGGAGAATCCTGCTACTGTTTCAAGAACCGACGTGTAATCTCTGAAGAGAATGCTGGTGTAATGATGTCGTTAGCCGGCACAGTCCTAATCAATTCAGGAGCTCCTTCGTGAGCCAGCCCAAGAGGACGGCTATCGTCATGAATCCGAGAACCGGATGAAGGCGGCATGGTTGCGTAGAGCATACTCTCCCTGACGAGCAAAGTAGAACCAAACCAAACAAACTTGGAAGCTCTCAGGCTTAGCGAGGTGTTCAAAATTCCGCTCGCTTGGCGGATATTCGATTGCATGTTGCGCAGATTTTCTGGCCTGTGTCTTCCTCGGGCTCAGCTTGGACGAGAGCAGCTTCGTGAGTCATGAGACGATCTAGTAGCTAAGATGTTGGTATTCGCCTACCCAGGTACGAGGTGCCCTCAAGCAATGATCATCGTGATTATCGTTTCCATGGATGTACGTATCCCAGCGTTATGCGCTTCAACAGATCCGAAGATCACAATCATGGGATTTCTGCTAGTAAAAAGAACTTGTGCCTTGACGCCGTCGCCATCGTTAACATCGTAATGGTATCCATATTGGTCGTTCATTGCTGGTGGTTGAAAAGGTTAGGCTTTCGCCGCATTGGATCCCGTGCAAATGCCACAAACCCCAGCGCCATGCGTGTAAAAGGCAGAAACTGAAGAGATCGCTCGGTTAGGCGAGATATCACCTAAGTCGACGAGTCTTGTGGAGACCTAGTTGTTTACCCAGCCCACCTGAATGTCCAGATCAAACCATTGAACCCCTTCTTCGGAATCAATCGCTCCCCCCAGAGCAACGCGACCACTTGCTCGACCTTGTCTGCTGTTTCGAAGAAACAGTCTCTGGGGGCACCTGGTCTAAGCTGCTGTGCCAGATCGTGCATCAATTCGGTGAACGATTCCCATTTCTTATCCCCAGCCTTGTTCTTCTGCTTGATGCCGTTGATCACGACCGTCCCGTTATTGTGAATGCGACGGATGCACCATACCGCATTGGAAAAATCATTCCGAAGCGCAAACAGTCGTAGAAGCATCGTGTCTAGACGGATATTCCACTCTGGCACTGGTGACGCACACGGCAGTCGTAGAGCAAGAAGACCGCTGGTGAGAGCGAGATCTCGGGCCAACGGCGGCTCTAATCGAGTGGTTCGGGGGAGGTTTGGGCTTTTGGGTGGACCTGGTTTAGCCGACGCCGCTTGCAAACCCTTGAGCGCTGGCCCAGGCGGCATTTCCAGGACAGCTCTAGGACTAGATTCAGGGTTGTTACTTCGCACGTCAGAACGTGACGCGATTGACGGACTGTCGTCGTTCAGGGTTGAGGCGGAATCTTCGCTATGCTCGCCAACCTCGTCCCGGCAAAGCTCCACATTCCGACATCTGTCGCATACTTCTGGGTCAGGGGATGCTTTCTCCTTTCCCTTCTCCCTCACTTGCTGTTTCTGCTGTCTTTTCAGAACAAGTTGAGCCAGAGAACCACTTCGCAGCTCGCAAAGTCTGAACGCGCTTACAGCAATCAGCTTGCAAATACGATTAATGCCGTCTTTGCTCCTGGACGAAACGTCAACGAGTGCGCTGGTTCTGGTGCGGACAAGGCTGCAAGCTTCGTAGCACACTCGCTCGAAGGAGAGCTCTCCAGAAATGAAGTTTCCTTGATCAACGCAAATCTCGCCTTGAAGCAAGATCCGCTCAAGATAGTCACAGATCGCCCTGTATATGTGCAAGTTGGGCTCCTTTTGGCTTGCTAGCAAGTGTTTGTCGAATTCGTCTTGAATGGAGCTGCGATCACACGTCGTTCCGGAAGCAAGCAATTCTCGTCCTCCTAATGGTCGATGTCCTGCGTCTGCTTGATTCTTGTCATTGTGAGGATAGAGGAACTTGATAGAATTGATGTTCGGGTGCAGCCACGGCAAGACAGCGAGCTTGACGAAACTGTCTGTCCGACCAATGTGACGAGGATGAAGTTCTGTCGATAGTGTCAAGTTCAGCCCCATCCCCCGTGCAAAAGGAGATTTGACCATAATCCACAGAGCATGCATAAAATCTGCGGCGTCCAGATGACTGCTGATGTAGAATGGAGCGTCTGGCTTGGTATTCGCACCAGTGAACAACATTAGAGGGTTGAATCTGAAGTGAGCTGGCTGAGACCCATCCCGCGGTCCGCATATCAGTCTGGTCGAAGGAAATGGGCCAAGTACTGGAACACCATAGTTCTTCAACTTCGCACCTAGACCTTTGATCCCTGACTGAATCGCGAGGACTTTGTTATCTGTGTACAGCACTGTCCGTCCTTCCCAGTAAAGTTGCTTACATGTCTTGAGTATCGCCGGGTGTAGGTGGCAGCTCTTGATGATGGGGGGGTTCCCATTTATCTCTTGGTTTCCCTTGTGCTTGAACGGCGCAGCCTCGAGAATCCGTCGCGGATTCAGATACAACAGCTCGGATATGCTGCTTTGTGGCGGGCGGCGAGTATGGGCCTTACGATTGCAGTCTAGGCATAACAGGTGCCGGAGGATTTCGAGGCGAAGCTCGACAGGTAGGCAGAGGAGAGGGGACGGCTTTTGTGACTGTTCGGATGCGGCAGCGTTTTCCTCTCCATATTCATCACATTCGAATATAAAGCGGAGGGTCAAGACCTCCCTCGACAGCAAAGGCATCCTCTATGCATCGCGCATGCGTCCCGAGGACAAGGCTGTGAAGCAGTCGTCGGGATGGTTCCGGATGCGATGTTGTCGACTTGAAACGGTGGGGGCTATGAGGGTTGACCGAGCATGCCGAGTAGCAATGACACAGTGGACGTACGAGGTGGTTCAATAGCCTTGAACTTGGTCGGTTAGTTGATCGGCCTGGCTAGCAAGACAAGTGGATCGTTCGAGGTCGGACAGCGCGGGGATCATTATCTGGGGGTGACGCGGTGAAGTGAAAGCTACAGGAAGAAGACAGGAGCAGTGAAACGGTGGAAGAGAACCCCAGGGCCGGAGGACCCGAAAGAAGATGATTATCGAAATCAGCATAAACAATGGAGAATAGTAATGGAGAGAATATGGTTGCCCAACTCGATTGTCACGCTCTGGCTGCAGAGAGCAGAAGATCTGGTGGGTGTCTGAAGTGCAATCCATCGTCTGACTAAGCAGCTCTGAGAAGACCCACGTGAGCCTGCACGCGCTCCGCTGCGACCGCGTATAGATGTTTCAATATATCAATGCTGTCCCAGAAAATGAAGACGGCCAGGTGTGGCAAGTGATCGTGTTCAGCTCAATAATGCGACTTCATGCCTGGAGCCGACATAACATTACTGGGCTAGGATCACATCCTATGTGACATTGTCCACCAGGAAATCCTCCGATCCGGACGGAGATGTCGGGTGACTAGCTGGTATCCATAGAGTCGCCGTCACTGTTTCTCTTCTTCATGAATCCCACATATTCGTCGATAGCCATGGGCCAGGCGCCATCCTCCGTCCACCAGTCGAAGGACTCACCACCCGGTTCTCTTGTCCGCGTGACCAACTCACCAACCATGTTCCACAAATCCTTATTGACCGGTCTCTTGATTTGCGACTCGTAGAACTCACACCAAAGATCCAACCACTTGGTCGAGGCTGTGTTCCACTCAATGCCCCCTTTGCCTTGTCGGAAGAACATGTTCCAGAAATCGATGGCCGAGTCCATTGGTACACTGCGTTGTCCTTCGGGTTTTGCAAGCTTGAATGCATTCCGGTAAACCTGCTTGAAGTAGTTCGAATCGGTTGACAGTCTCTTTCGGATCACGTCGATGTATTGCGCCTGTCTTGACGAGCTGTCATATGGTTTGTCGCCTGTAGAAACGCTTCGCCAACCGGAAACAAAGGGTTCACGGTCAAACTCGCCGATGGAAGGACATTGCAGGAGGTCACAAATCGCGAGGTGAGCGACTTCATCCAGCTCGACATTGAGGTCTGTGAGGTATTTCTGCGCCCCTTCTATTCCAATCTTATCCGGTGCATCTCTGGGGTTGTCTAGGTATTGTCAGCCGTTGGCGCCTCCCAGAATGGTTGAGGTCCTACCGCGGTATTGGTCGAAGAGCTTGTTGAGATTCTGTTGCAGTGGCGGGACCGTTGTCGTGCCAGATCCACTCTGGTAGAATCTATAATAGACGGCTGTGTCAGCGACTCTGGAGCAAGATCAATCAACGCTCAATCCTGCATGCCTGTGACGATGTCCTGCCCTGCCATTGTTTTTGCTGGACCTCCCTCTGACAGTCAATTTCGCTGACGAGCCGTTCATATTGGAACCTTGAGCCACCTCCCCATCCGCCTTGGTCTTCTTGCCTGAGGCTGACGACAGGGTTGATTCTGTAGATTTGCGTTTCGGCATGGCGATTCGACGCCAAATGCAGAGAGCGCAGAGGAGAAATAGCAGCAATATGATTGATGGATAACTGGATACCGGACGTTTGAGTTGGCAGGAGTGCAGATGAAGAAGGAACACCACTTTGGAGAACGAGTCAAGCGATCCCTGTAAGGACCAACCGTGTCTTTTAAGGTTCAAATGAGGCAAAAGGCATCGCAGGCAGGTGCGCCGAAGTGTAGAGGTTGTCGATCGGAGGCAGTGGGAAAATGGGATGAAGTGCATTAATGGCAGCACCATATGAAAGGAAGCCGCAGGCTCTCTTGCTCACGTGTTCATCACTTCATTCTGTGGCAGCCCAAGCGCAGCCACGGCCATTCCCGCACAACAATCAAGCCATGCAGAGGCCCATTCAATCACTAGTTGACTCACATCGACGACCGCAGCCGACGGTGCAAGTGCGAGAAGAAATGCAAATGAAAATGAAACTTACGAATCCAGTGCCCTCTCTACGTTCCAGTCATGGTTCTTGAGAAACTGTGCATCTACCTTAGTCGAGTGTCCACGGAGAGTCTGAATTGACTCACCCTCGCAGCTATGCTCTCCTTTGCCTGAGTGAAGCTGACAAACTGTGATATAGAAGCTCTTTGAGATGAGGTGAACGTCGGCATTTCGTGTCTGGCTAAGCTGACGGCGCAAGTGGCGCAGGAGAGCTTGATGTGAGAGGGGCAGTTTCTGATATTGATAAAATGGCGGAAGCACGGGACTTTGGTTGGTCAATGGCGAACAAGGAAGGTTGTATGAAGCGCGACTCTCCCAATGAATCGTAGTATCACTATCTTGGTCGCAATGAAGAGGCAGCAAATGTGAAGAGTCGGCACGTCGCAAACCGCCAGCGAGATATCGCCAAGGAAGAAACTATTTCACAGGGCAGGTCAAGCGAGCCACGCTTTGTTGTCGGCGACACCCGTTAGAGGTTAACTAAGGCTATTGCACGAGCTGTGTGGTACTCGTCATACGTAATTCGGGTTCTTTGTGCAAAGGGCTTCATCAAATGGGCCTTCATGCGAGCGTGTCCCATGACCGACGATCAGGTACGAAGTACGGAGTACAGGGTACTTCTGGAGTCCTGTGGCTTGAATGAGGCTGTGCTTCTGGGAAGCCACTTGAGGATCGGTTTGCGCCTCACGAACCCATAGCGGGGTGCTTTGTCAGTGACCTCGGGAGCCAGGCACCCTGCCAGGCTGCGGGTGAGGTATGACGTAGTGGACCTCCGATACGTGTAGATTCCTGCGCTTCACCAGACAGACACGACGGACTCTGGCCCTGTTTGCAGGAACAAGAGTTGTCCACTGCACTTCCGCGGATGTTTTGTGTTGACAGATTTTACTTCTCGCGTTGAAGGGAAGGTGCGGAGTTACTCCAGGGACAAAGAAGTAAAGCCAAATTCTGTTCACTTCTAAGGTGCATGGCCATTTCAGGAACCCCTCACCACCCTCGTCCTTTGTCTGCAGCCTACTCGTACAGTAGTCTCCATAGCTTGAACTGCACAGCCCTGCGGGACATGCCTGTGAAGCCCCTGTTCGTCATTTGGGCCGCCCAAGGATTGTTTGCTTGGTGAAGCTAATTAGAACCTTTACTTCTACAGGCCGAAAGTGACCATCAGCTGTTTCATGCCGCCATCTGTTTAGTGCTCAGGTTTCATCATTCCTTTAAAAGGCCCTGGTCCTGTCAACCCTCGAACCTCTCCCCAACCTCAAGTTCCTCTCTTTCACCTTCGACACGTTTTTCCAACAAGACTGAAGGCACTTCCCAATCATGGGTGTAAGTACTGTCCACTCAATCTGCCCTCGAGTACCCCTCGGTCTCCCCGCACAGGTTCATCGAGCAATGGCTGGATCCATCTTTGTGCCAAAATCACACCAATCTACCCGCAAGGTTATGTCAAAGCCACAGGTTTCCTGACTGATGACGCGTAATAGCTTGCTTCGAAACTTGCCGCAGCTAACGCTGCCTACCCAGGTGGCCCTCCAGCTCCTGGTGGTGCGCCTGGTGGCCCTCCTGGTGGTGGTGGATACGTAAGTCAACATTACACATGCCGCACAGCCCACTCTGTCCTGTCCATCGGTAATCTGTGGCTGAAGAAGCCTTGAGGGAATTCCAGAACACTGACCAAGTCTCTATCAACTATTTAGCCCGGCCAGCAACAGTATCAGGCATATCCAGGTGGTCCTCCTGCTTCTGGTCCTGGTGCAACTAGTCGTCCGGTAAGATTCATACCACCACCTTGTGCGTTCAGTGCTTGGGCGTGACTACTTCTGCTTCCTTTTACCTTTTTCTGCGCCGCACTAGCCCTGGTGTTGCGTCATCGCGCCTACGCCCACACCTGGCACGCGGCCTGCACACGACTTCACCCGTTTCTCCCACTTTTGGAACCGATCTCAACTTCTGGCTATCGACAGCGTCAATATACTTTTGACGAACGATGAGCAAATTTTCTCGCATAGCGCAAGCGAGTCAGCCAGGAGCGCCTGGCTTCCCAGGTGCTTCAGCGCCTCAAGCTCCATACCCAGCACAGCCGCAATATGCTCAGCAACCCCCTCAATTGCCTGGGTCACCATATAATCAGCCTCCTGTTCCACCGAGACCGAGCCCCTCACCCCAACCGTATCAACCACCACAGTGGCAGGCGCCTCAGCAGCAGCAGCAGCAGCAGCCATACGGCCAGCAATTAGGCGTTCCGCCGCAAGGAGGGGGATATCAGTCACCACAGCCGGCATATCAGTCGTACCAGTCCCAGTACCAACCACAGCAGGGTCAATACGGCCAACAGCAATATCAGCAACAGCCACCCAATAGTGGATATGGATTTGTTCGTCGCAACACATCTCACGAGCTTCCTCTTTTAATTCGCTCATGCTCTATATGAATCCTTGCACTAACATATATTCTACTGCAGGGTCAGCAACCTCCCTACCCCGGCGGCCCTCAAGGTGGTCCCCCTCCACAGCAATATGGTGGCGGTCCTCCTCCTCCCCAGCAGCAGTACGGTGGTGGTCCCCCAGGCGGCGCTCCTGCAGCCCCAGTCGGTAATGCCGCTGCATACAAACAGCTCTTGCAAGCCACCATCCAAGAGAAAGGACTCCAAAACTTTTATCCGCCGGGAAGTCCCATCCTCGACCAGATCGCCAATCGCGGTGCGCAACAAGTCGCCCAGCTGGCTGCGGCATGGCGCATCTCTCCAGAGATCGCCTCTGATATTGTCAAGCTGGCGCTTTATGATGTGATCTTGTACATCGACGACAGCGGGTCCATGCAGTTCGAAGAGAACGGAGAGCGCATTGACGATTTGAAGTTGATATTGTCCCGCGTCGCATACGCTACCAGCCTTTTCGACGAAGATGGCATCCAAGTCCGCTTCATGAACTCTCCGGACCAAGGTAACAACATCCGTAGTGAACAGCAGGTTAACGAGATGATCGCCCGCACTCGCTTCTCCGGGTTGACACCTATGGGTCGCGAGCTGCAAAACAAGATTCTTGGCCCCCTTGTCCTGGAAAACGCCCGTCGTGGGACTTTGCGCAAGCCCATCTTGGTCATCACCATCACCGACGGTCAACCAACTGGTGAAAGCTCATCTGATGTGGCCAAGATCATATCTGCAGCTTCCAGCGAATTGACCAGGAACCCTCGTTATGGCAAAGGAGCTCTGGCATTCCAATTCGCCCAGGTTGGCAATGATCTCAAGGCAAGAGAGTTCTTGAGTAAGCTTGATGAAGAACCTACTATTGGTGATATCATTGATTGCACATCAAGTAAGTCTTTATCCCAAGGTGTCGTTGCCTTGCACTGACAGCCTCTCCAGACTACGAAGTCGAAGCCGACGAAATGTCCCGCGCCAATCCGCCAGTCCAGCTCTCTCCTGAACTCTGGCTTATCAAACTCCTTCTCGGTAGTATCGACTCGAGCTACGATACCAAGGACGAAAAGGCCGGCTCACGACCACCACAGCAAGGCGGCTACGGCGCCCCTCCAGGACAGGGAGGTTATGGTGGTCCTCCAGGTGGTGGATATGGTGGTCCTCCGGGTGGTGGATACGGCGGCCCGCCAGGTGGCTATGGGGGACCACAGCCAGGACAGGGTGGTTATCCTCCTCAGCAAGGCGGGTATGGTCAGCCTCCTCCGGGCGGATATGGACAACCTCCTCACGGTGGGCCACCAGGTCAGGGCGGATATCCTCCTCAGCAAGGTGGTTATGGTGCGCCGCCTCCGCCTAGGTATTAGGCTTGGCCGCACACTTCGCAAAAGACCTTTGTTGCGATGTGAGAGCCTATCAGCAAAAGCGAGTGACAACGGCACTGCTGAATTGTTCTGGGACGGCAGTGCCGGAATAGGTGTAATGGCAGCGAACACCATACGTTATGAACAAACATCACTTCCGAGCACTTTTTCGAGTCAATGGACTTGGCACGCTGCGGTTCGAGACGGGACCAGCATGGAAAGTCACGTAAATGCGACCAACAGGCTCACGATTTCAGAAAGGCGACAAACCGGGCTTGTGGGGTAAACACCACAGGTGAAGCTCTCCAATGCAAATGAAGTTTTTATGCATAGTCTGCGCGAGCCTATTTCCCTAACGCTTGACCGAGGACTGCTGTAAGCCGACTCGTTCTTGACTTGAACTTGAAAAAGGTAGTAGTATTTGTGTGGAAAGATGTCAGCTCGCTTTTCACTATCTAGCGACAGCCCGGGGCTTGGGCACATCCAACTAAACGTGCTCGGGGCGTTGGTAGGTTTAGCTAAGCAACAAAGAGGCACCTGGCTGCCTGGCTGTCTGGCCTCCGCTGATAGACTTAAATACGTAGTCATTGTGGCCGTACCATAGAATACATTTTCTTCTCGAGACTCGTGTCCGGTCAACTCCAATCAAATCAAATGAAGCGCACTCTCCCGACAGTCGACTCGACTCATCGTATCATTTGTAGAGTGTATGCCATGTTGTTACACTTGGCCGAGCTCGAGCTCGCCCACAACATTCCTCTCTCCTTATCACCGTACTTGCATTTGACCCAACTCGAGCTCGCCCACAACATCCCTCTCTCCATTCACCGTACCTGCGTTTAGCTACTCGTACAAGATTGAAGCACGACATTTCGTTTGATCATAGGGAGGAAATGAAGGGCGGAAGAGCCTCACCGGCTGGTTCGGGACGTGCATGGACGTGCTGCGTGGTGGAACCATCGTACTTGATTTTTTCCTGGTCAGTTTGTTCGGCACTCTCTTGGTGTGCTCTCTGTCCGGGGCTGTGTTCATCTTGCTTCGTGCATGTTCCTGTTCCTGTGCCTGTGCTTGTGCATGGCCCTGGCTGCCGGCCGTTTTGTTGGTTCTCGGGGAACACAGCAGACGAATTTCAATCTCGTCTGCGTCCCCGAATGATGACGGGGTTGAGACATGCAGCATTACATTCTTGTTCGGAGTCTCCGATCGTGTTTTGTGTTTCATGTCCATGTGCATGTGCATGTCGTTTGGATTGCCGATGGGTGTGTATTGGTGAGGATTGTAGGTCGTTGCGCCGTTCCTTGCAGGGGAAAAAAGGTGTCAACACTCGACTTACACGACATACCGACTGTGGGAAATACGGCGCCAGGTCTGAGGTACAGTTATGACGGATGACGTGCAGGCTGGCAGTCAGTGAGTGGGCGAGTGGGTGAGTGACATCGGGAACTACTTCCACTTCTTTGGTGACAAGGCAGACCGCTCCTTGTAATCAGCCTGTGTGTCGTGCTTTACGGTGACAGATCGTTGGGGGCCCGCTCTCAGACGTCGCGCCGGCGCAACGTCACGTCACGTCGGAGGTTCATACCGTGTCGTGCAAGCTGGGAGTCATGATCCCGTGTGGTACCTAGCCTCGGGGAATGATGTGCATGGGCATGCCCGATCCAGGAGCAAGGAATAGGAATGGTACTGCCGTGAGGGCGACAATTGCAACGTGATCGTGGAACAAGCTGCAATGTCGCAGTCAACCTTGAAGGAAGTTGTTGGTGAGGGTTTCATGTCTCGCGCCTGGCCAATATGTCTGGGTGAGGGATATTGAGGCCGGAGTAATGAGTCAAAAGGCTTCAGTTCTGTTTTTTCTCCACGAAGACAATGAAGAATGGTGTCCCTTGCGATGGGGACCGACAGGGTCAAACCACAATACCGAGATGTCTCTCTTGGCGAGAGCAGCTTTCAAGGTTTGGAGGGGACTTGTTGAGATCCAACCCGCAGTCGATAACACGGTCTGTCCTTCTGTATCGGAAAGTGGAGGTGAATGCGAATGCGAATGCGCGCGGTCTGTACATGCTCAGCTCTGAATGTTGTGATTGCTTGACCGCCTCAAGGCCGAAACATCTCGGTTAGGAGGTTGGTCGTATTACAAGGGACATTCTACCACATCAACAATGAAGCCTTGAACAACAGCGGCCCAGGGTGTGGCCACGGCCTGTGTGCCAGCGCTGAATGGAAACGAGAACGTAGGATACGACTACGGGATTGCTGTTCTTGTTCTGGGATAGTGAGTCAAAGGGTTGATGAGGTCGTATGGACTTCATGTCCAGCTATTGAGTCACAGGCCTGAGGTTGCAGCCACGCTAATTAAGTCAAAGGTGAAATGAAAGGTCTGAGCCGTGTATACGGTGTCAAATCGGGTTTCAAGGCTGGGAGAGGACGGCCAGGGTAATTAGGGCTGAGCGCGGCAGAGACAACCTCTAAGCATAGTTACGGAGTACAGAAGCGAGACAGGCACGAGACAGACAGTAACCTCAGGATCCGACATTTAGCCCTGATCCAGGAACGGCTGGAGAGTTGGGCGGAGTCACACCAAGTCCGCGGAGGTGCGAAGAAGCAGCAAGTTGATACAAACTGGCTACCGCGTTGAGAAGCTGAATAAAAGCAGCAGGGTTGCAACAAGCGAACACGAGCGAATCCGGGGAAAGCGTCTCTTGTAACTCGTAGATGTAGATACGAATAGGGCTATCGAGAAGTCAGGGCTGCCTCGCTTCCAGGGCCTAGGCGGTACGGAGTACAGTAGAGCGTCACCTGAACGACGGTGTCTCTTGGGACACGGGACTGAGAGCAAGCTGTTACGGGCGTTGGACAGCCAGCCACGCTGCTTCAGACAATGAGATGCGGGTGCAGATATGGTATCTTTGGTCTGTTGACTTTGGATGATTCATGCATGCAGTCGCGACTGAAATCGTAAGACTCACTTGCAGCGTCGGGCATGAAGACATGATGACCGAGTGACGGCATTGCGAGGGAAGAATGAATTGGCGCCCGTTGATGAGCTGGAACCCTAACTACATCCCTACCTAACGAAGAGCCGGTGACTAACCAAGCCCCGGGAGGGCCTGCCACCTAGCCTGCGTAGCGAGTTACTGTAGGGCGCCCGCGACAGCTACAGGGAGGATTAATTAGGCTCACCGCTTACAGCACTTCTGCCTCTTCTGTGCAGGCAAGTTGCTCTCGTTCATTCAAGTCTCCCTCCCTTGTCGACGCAAGTCATCAAGTCGCATGGGTTTCGGGCGCTGAGACCAATGGTGTGGCTGACCGACACCGGCAGGGCTGGTCACCTTCCCTTCACGGCATGATCTTGGTGGTCGCTGCTTGGAGCTTTCCGAATGTTACCCCCCCATGATCGCTTACCAAAGGGCCAAAGGGCGGCTTCACTGCGCAAAAGTACGCTCGCAGCGCGTCTCTTGCCAACACCCTTGCAAGGGCCTGAGCAACACTTTGCCCACCCTTGGGAATCCACGTGGTAGACACCGCAACAATGGCTGCTGATTCGCTTGGCCCTCCCAGCAGGTGTTCGCCCTCCCTTGTCAAGGGTCCACCGGCTGTGACAGGGTTTCATAGCTTCAACGGTGAGTGAGGCCGGTGTGAGCACCTGCAGTCACCTGCTTACACACATGATCCGAATCTATCCAAACACTAAACTAGGTCCTCATTCACCATGTCCGCGTCAGATTTGATATATCTTGATCTTCCGCTCTCACCAACCTCTAGATCGACAATCACCCAAGTTCAACCGACAAGACCGTCCGTGCTTCGGGATCCGAAATCCAATTAAACGTCAAATCTCACGAATTCCAACCCCTCGATACAATATATCAACCACGCCCAACCCACCACAGCTCGAACAATCCCATTGTCTCCAAACGTCCACAATGCCTTCGACTTGCAGGGCAAAGCCCGCCCTCTTCAGGGGTCTAAAGCCTGTCTTTACCACACCACAACAAGCCTCGGCAACCCAGAAGATCATCTCATCGGCTTGCTCGAGATCATGCATATACTGCGACATTTGGAAACTTGCCGCTCTGATTGCGTCTCACTCACCCCTCTCTGCTCGCTACAACCTTTCGACTGGCACACCTACCAACTCGCCCATCTCTTCGGCCGCCTCTAGCCCCGTCTCAACATCACCCATCTCGCAATCACCCACGCCCTACGGCTCAATCATCAAGGCGTCCAAGAGAATCGAAGCCCATTTCCAGACTCAGCGATCACAGCTTAACTCGATCCTGAGCATCTGTGCCGTTGCCGGAGCCGATGCTGAGGAAGGTCTTCGAATGGCTCATGATAGATGTGCATCAGCAGTTGAAGACCTGCTCGACCAGGAAGAGGATCTCGAAGAAGAACTGCTCAAAGATCTCGAGGACCAGCACTACGGCTGCTATTACTACAGCTACACTTCCCAGTACAGCTATCCCACATCCTCATACTCTCATGAGCGAAGACCGAGCATGGTGCGTGTGTCACACTAGCCAGTACTCTTCCGCTCCTCTACCTTGTACGATTATTACTCGACCATTCAAAAAGTTCTACGGCAAGCGATACATGAGCAGCTTATTTATTTTTTAAGAAGGGGAAAGGATAGCAAGCCGTCAGAATCCAGACTGAGGAAGGGGAGACTTAAGCAGCAGCCTGCTTCAGATGCCAGAGCCATGATTCAGAATGATACCCACGGGACATGTACACTAGATAGTACTCCGCGATCAATGAAAAACAGATTGATCTACCAGTAACTGCTAAGGATCCTTTCGTCATGCATTTTTGGCTCCCCGGGCCATATCTCGATTGTGCCTCTCTGTCACACTACATCACCTCCATTACTCATGGTCGATGTGATTTGTGGCCTGGCTGAAAATTTCTGCCCAAACTATTCATGACAGCGAACAACGAGGCCAATCTCCCCTCCATCATGTGACAGTAACGTATACTCGCAAGACATCGATTTCTGCATTCAG